TACTGTTCTGCACATGCAGGCATCGAGATAAGAGAACTCTATCATTTCCAGCGGCATATCGCGAATCATCTCGCATTCGCACAGTCGGATCCCGGGAAAGCCGATCCGGACCTTGAACAGTCCAGAAAGGTTCCGACAGGCAGGCGAGGACTACAAGCAGAAGACCTAGTGTCCTTGAGAAACTTGGCACCCCAGCACCAGTGCACAAACACCAGGTCGTCTCGGGTGTAAAGAGCGAAGAAGCATGACCTCGCTTCAGCAAAAGCCATCTTCCAGCTTTGAGGCTTGGCATCTGCCCCACAAGGTCTCTGCAGCTTAGACGCGTCGAAGGCAGCTCTGCCTTCGCCAGCTGTGCCGGTGTTTGGCATTCCATGACCTGCCAGATTTTCTTGGGCTCAGACAAAAAGCTAAAATCTTGGCACAGGTGGGTAGTTGTCAAAATTATGGTCCCTTTTTGGGTACCCTAAATATTAGGTGCCGTATTATAATCAGGACCCAAAAGGGGACCATGATTTCCAGGTATGTTACTCTTCGGCTGCTTGCACTATCTGGGAGTTTCCAAAAATAGGGGTACCTTATTTTGGGGGTCCTTATAATAAGGGCCCTACTATTTAGGGTACTATATTAGGGTCCCCTATTTTCGGAAACTCCCATCTCGGAAGAAGGGTCTGGGAAGGGTGGCCTTGGCTTCCATAACCGGCGTGTTGTTCGCACCCGCCTTCGGAGCTGCGATCAGATCGCATGTCCACAGCCGACTACCGTGGTTTAGGGTTTAGGGTTTAGGGAACAAAGCTGTCGATATTCTTGACATCTGCTGTTCTCTAACTCAGCACTTCACGCTTCACCTCTCCAGCCGCGGCGAGCCGGCTCAGGGAGAGGCGCGAGGAGAGGACCAGCTTCAGGCAACCTCTCACAGCATTTCTTAGCTGCCTGGAACTGTGAATCTATCATAGTTGTCGGGAATAGTTTGGCCAAGGGGCTGTCCTCTTTCTGCACCAGGCGTTGCAGCAGCCCTTGTGCTGCTTGCGACAAGCGTAGCGGCCTCAACTGCATCTCAAGACAGAAATAAGACGTGCTCTTGCTACACACCGCATGCCTGATCCATGCGCATGCCGCTGCTGGATGCTCTTAGCAAGCGGGTAGTTGTCAAAATTATGGTTCCTTTTGGGGTACCCTAAATAATAGGTGCCGTATTATAATAAGGACCCAAAAAGGGACCATAATTTTGACAACCGCCCAAGTCAGTCTTGCCTTGCAGGTGCTTACTGAGAGCAGCGCGCTGGCAGAAACTCCTTGCTGCGCAGTCAACAAATCTCATGTCCACACAAATCCACGCCTTGATGGCTTGATGCATTGCATTGCATGGCGTGTAACAGTGCTGGATCCATCATGATGGCTGTTGCAGAACACCGCGCGGAAGCCGCGATTGCCCTGTCGATTCTTGTCACATATCGGAAAGTGCATGAAAGCGAAAAGCCCCGATGAGGTCTGGCAGCAAGCGAAGAAGAGGAAGCAAAAACAGGGTTAGCCTATGCAGCTGTGCTACTGTACCTGTGAGTATTCCGGACCAGTTCAGATTATCGCGGTGATAGGTTTTTCGCCCTCGTCCCCGGAGTCCCCTAAGACAAACTCCTTGGCACCATGGCCAAATGTTTACTGCAGGAATTTGCTCTGCGAGGCTCTGTGAAATGGCGTGGGCTTCCCAAGTTAAGTATTTTCTGCGAACACACGAAAATCTGCGGGGTGATTTCAGCGGCTCAGCCGTTCTACGGACCGAAAAGTTCAAGAGTGATGCCTTTTCGCGCTTGGATACAAAGGAGGTTCAAGTTGCAGCATCAGTGAATAAGCTAGTGCTTTGTCGAAGCTGATTGTCGCATGTCTCACTTCTATGCCAACGCTTTGTCTGCTGAGCTTCCTCTCCAGCGGCATGCTGCACCGCCAGCTCAGCATGCTCCCTTGGCCTCCGATGGCAGCCCACAGTGTCAGTCTCAAAAAGGAGTGGCGACGTATCGACCAGGAAGAGCTACCCATTCTGCGCGTGACAGCTCGCTCCCATGTGAGTCAGCGGTCCCCAAGTCTGCAAGCAAGGCCTTGTTTGTGCCAAGACTTTTGCAGCGACGGGCCTGAGACACGACGGCAGCGGCAATTTGCAAAACATCCAGTGCCAAAGCCGTCAAGTCTAAGTCCGGACGAAGAGGCCAGGACAAGCTCTTCGAATCTTTGGCGAGGAGCTCGCTTAGGAAGTACCTGAAGGAAACCATGAGGTACCACGGCAACGTGACTTCACCCACCGACATGAACGAACGCAGAAACAGAAAGATCCTCAAGCATTCTTTAGGAAATGTCGTAACCCAAAGTAGCAGGATCCGTGCATAAGCTCAGATAGATTTCTGCAGACAGAGTCACGGCCGCTGCACCAGGTCAGCCAGCATGCCGCGGCTTCGAACGTACCTTTTAGTTTTCTCAGCTTCAAGCCTAGGGTGCGACTTCAAGGTGTTGGGTCCGTCAAGTGTAAGTCTAGGACGAGTCCAGAAGGTAATTACCAGGCTGCTCTTTTAAAACCACCGGTGCATCCATGAAGCCTGAAGCCGCGACCGCCCCCCACCGGCCTTGCCCGGTCCACCTCCGGTGCTGACTCCGGCAGCCAAGCCAGCAACAGCCAGCGCGAGCCTAAGGCTTCATCCAAAGCTCATCTGTGAACTTTGAGACTCTGGAAACGGTGGGTGAAAGGGTAGCAGTGCAGAAGAGACGACTGACTACGTTCTCCCACGATCGATTTATGAGCTCAAGTGTTAGCGAACGGCTGGCCTTCAACATTCTCGCACAGGTCCGCCCGGAAGAGAAGCAGACTCGGCTTGTCCGGTTCAAGGAGAATCTTGACCTGGCTGCATTCTTTGGGTCGTTGTCTGCAGTTTCACGGTCGGACCGTGTTGCTCCTCGAACTGGTTCGTCTTTTGCACTGCGGAGTCGACGTCGACACGAATCATCCAAGCTGTTGAAAAGGGGCAGAGTAAAGTAGAGCAAGGATTGCTTGACTTCAATGACATGGACTGCCAGCGGATCATGCAGATAAGCGGCACATCGCTGGAACTCCTCTGTCCCGCCACAGGAATTACACTTGAGAATTAAGAACCATCAAGGAACCAAGGATCATCAAAGCATAGCGAGGTTCAACTCAAGACTGCGGACTTTCTGACACTGCTCTGAAACTGTCCTTGTCGAGGGAAGCACCTGCTTCCTCCGGTTGTGAATTTGCAAGTGCCTGGAATTGCCAACACAGCAGATCTGCTCGAAGTTGCAAGTAACTATGCAAGTAACCACTGGGTGAGCGCCCAAAGGCACATCACCCCGGCAGAAGTCAGCCCACCCCAACGTGACGCGTCAATCTGCGAAAGGCACCCCAGGCAAAGTGAATCCGCAATATGACGCGTGTGTGGCGTGACGTTTTCAACATGCGCCAAGACAGGGAAACGCACGCGTCGCGCAGGGCAGCACTGCAAAAGTCTCTCTGTTGAGGCATCAAACACGACTGGATTAGCAAGTAGACGCCCTTCACAACAACCCACACTGTTCACCTCAAAACCCTCCCAACATGCAGACGCTCCATCTCGCAAGCCACATGTCGCTGGCAATCAAGCTCAACAAGAAAGAGCCATTTCCCATGTAGACTCTCGATTTCGCAAGCGCCCGCCCGCTCCAAGCACACATCCGGGGCAGCACATCAAACTCAGCCGTTCTCCATGTAGGCGCTGGATTTCGCAATCAACATGGCTTTCCCCATGTAGACGCCGCATCAGCAAGGTTGCATCCACTAAAGTCACTTCGTGCTACAGCTGTGGGTGCATACTTTGACTTTCCGGGTTGGCGCTTCCAGCGAGCGAGTGCTGGGTGCAGGTTCCGAGATTCGGGCGTTAGGTCCGAAGATCAAGACTGTTTTTCAATGCTTTTCAGTAACCCCCCGTTGGGGCTGTTTTTGGTCGCCGGCATTTGATGCACGGAAAGGGAGAACGAGCTGCTGCTTGAATGATTGCGGAAAGCAGACTGTGCGAGGTCAGGGCACAGGGCTCTCGAGACGCGTGTAGACAAACCTGCCAAAAAAGACACGCTGCACATGCTTGCTACTTCAGGAGGGTCACTAGCGTGTAGGCACTCACGGCTGCAGCTCCACTCGGCACGGAGCCTCCCGCGGCAAAACCGAACAGCAAGTAAAGCATCGTGAGACAGCGGATGAACAGCAGAAAGTCTGAGACACAGAGAAACAAAGCAGCTTGCACGAAGCGCCTTTCTGGACAATGATCGCCTTCACGCACCGAAGAGATCGCGAACGAGCTGCACGAACAGTGTTGCGCAGCTGACTGTCCACGCTTTCGGCCATGGCAGGTTGTCCGCTCGCAGATCATCACAAGAGTGTCAGGAGAGCGTTGCTGTCAAGCCGTCTATCGGGTCTGTGAATGTCTGTGACTAGCCAGGGCTGGCCAGAGATTCGGGTTGACGAGTTCGTGTGTCAAACATGACCTGGTCTCGTCGAGGCTCGAGCACGTCAACCATTTCCAGTACTTTCAGCCCGATCCCACAGCATCCCGCACCAGTCTGAAAGCTCTGGCAGTTCCCAACCTGAGCCCTGGGGCCCCTGGGGTCCTGAAATATCTTGAAGGTCCGGCATGAACCGTGTTCAGCCCATGGCGTCACGGCCAAGCTTGAAGCTCTCAGAAACTGACCTTTCCAGCACAACACGACTGGACCAAACTGCAGCTAGTTCGAGACGCCGTGCATCCCAATGCCTCAAAGTCAGCTCAAAGCTCCAGGTTCGACGGGTGTTGAATGGCGCGGCGGCAAGGTTTGCTGGGGAAAAGACCCTCCCTCACGACAAACTCTTCACTCTGACTGGCCGAAGCATGAAACCGTCGGGCATGGCCCTGTTGTGTAGTCCCAGTCACCAGCCTACCCTGCTTTGAAGAACTTCTCTCATGCAAAGGCAGGCGACATGCAAGCAGCAGCGCCTGGGGTCGAAACACCAGGCCTGTCAGCGATGCAAAACATGTTGATGGATCTCATCTCTTCGTTCATGCGCCTGGATTGCCGGTCGGAAACGCCACCAGTCCGTCGCATGGACTTTGCATCCAGGGAGCAAAGGCCAATGACACCTTGCATGTCAGAGATGTGGCTGAATAACTTAAACAGATGCACGCTACTTAGTTCATTGAAAACAGAACAGAAGTACAAAAGCAGCGGCAGCGACGCAAGCACATGTCTTGCAACCCGAAACAGTTGCCTTGCTCTGTCCCATAGATCATCTGGACGGGGTCGCCCACATGATGCCTGAGACTGAATGCAGCAAGTCGCTTGCTGCTGCTGCTAGAGCTGAAAGGAGTCGAGTGGCGAGGGATTGTCCACCGGATTCAAGCCCTGAAAGCCCAGAGCTGTTGCAGAGCCCTCAACCTCGAAAGAAGGCCAGGAGGCTGCATCGATTGTTGCTGTTCTGGGGATAGCCACGGCTGGCAATTGAGGCTTCGACCGCGAATTCATGTGAGAGCTTCTCCCCCTGATAGACTCGCAAGCATTTGTCCTATATCAGCAGGACGTCGTGGCGAAGGCGAAGTGCCTAGTCTAGTCAGTTTAGTTATCCTTTTTCAGTGTCTGAGCTCTTTCACGCAGTGTCCTGGCAGGCCACTATCGTGCTGAGGATCTCCCCATTGTGCACTGGCGCACAGGTCAGATCCTGAGCTGGCAAAGCATATGACATCGTGCTGGAATTGCCATGGGGCTTGTGTCGGGAAGGATGTGGACGGCCGAAAAGCCATTGGCTCGACGTCCCCCTACTCCCCACTTGGACACACTGGGGCGACAGTGCCCACAAAAGATCCACGAATGATTCCGGTCCTGAGTGAGCGTGGCGTGGCCTTATTGTCCCACACGGTCGCTGGCGGCTTCTGAGGATGCACGATCGTGGCAGCTGGTAACCCTCCCCATACCCAATACAAAGACACCAGCTGGAAGACATCTCTGTATGACCTGTTGTCTTGCATCCCCAGCTGTGCCCTTTGTTGCTTGGGTTTTGCTAAGGCAGCTGGCGGCTCCTAAAATGCACCTGCACCGAATTGGTGTGAGCTGGTGGTCCTCCTGCACCCACTAGGGCGACATCCACATTTTGGCCCTCAGGTGATTTGGCTCTGGAGCAGTATGGAGTGGCAGATTCAATGGTCGCACCGGTACTGGTGCATTCCGGGTGCAGGGGTGGGTCGAAGCGTTGGTGCTCCCCGCTTTGCAGATCCAAATGTCCCTGCCCCCGTTCGCCAAAATCGCAGCGTTGGCGCTCCCTGTTCGAAAAACGAGCGGTGTTGGGAGACATCTAAATCTTTGCGTTTTGTTTTTGAGTGTGAGTAGGTCGAGCCGGGACAGCTGGCCGGTCCCGAAGGTAGATTTGGCCTTGGCCGCGACGGGCATTGGAAAAGTACGGGGTGTCTGGCGCAGTGGCGTATTGGCGGCAGCATCCCCACTCCCTTTTTCAGGTGCTCGCCACCCTCATGTCTCTACCCCCGTTCCCGGGACGCAGCATTGGTGCTCACCCTTCGACAGCTGAGTTTACTGGCAATTTCTCCAGAGCTGTGCTGCGGATGCAGTCGGTCTATATGGGGGTTTCCGAAAATAGGGGACCCTAAGATAGTAACCTTAATTATAGGATCCTTATTAGAAGGACCCCTTATTTTCGGAAACTCCCATATAGTTTGTCGTGTCCGTATAATGTTTTCCTCTTTCGCCTTTCGGGCCTCCCGCCATGTCGGGCAGCGGCGGGTCCCCCCTTCTGTCAGGGTTTAGGGTTTAGGGTTTAGGGGCTTGGTACGCCCGTGGAGGAGGACCCAGTGGACAACAGCCGGGTTCCGTCACATCGTAGCATGTTGCCTTCCCGAAATGTTGGGCCACCCCCGCCGAAGCAGAGCGTCAAGGTCAAGGAAGTGCTTGACTTGTTCCGTGTGAGCCGAAGGATGACCTCCCCCTCTCTGTTTTGACGCCAGGGCTGGAGTGACGGGTGCGACCCTTTGGTGCAGTGCCCGTCTCTCTTGCTTGTTTGTTGCGGCTGGGCATTGGAGGCGTCTGAAGCCTTCCGGGCCGATGGCCCACCCATGTTGTTGGGTCGGAGGAGTGAAAGCTCGGATCTCAAGGACTCAAGTCCGGGGATACCACATGGTCGTGTTGTGCGATTAACTCCTTTTTCCTCGGCAAACACACACACGCTCTCTCCCTCTCTCCCTCTCTCCCCCTCTCTCTCTTATAGCCGGGCTGGTGTCGGCGAGGCGATGTCTTGGGATGTGTCGGCGCTTACTATGCTTTCTTCATTTTCGGCGATTGGGACCGGGCCTTCAGCCCCTTGACCGTACCGAAGACTTGCTTGCTAGAGGTCCGGTCCAGTAGTTACTGGACTTGGAAGAGAGGATTTCATGCGACGCGACTAGCGTACTGCCGAGTCCACGAAGTACTCTATTTACGCGCCAGCAAACCTTTTCATCGGATCACGGTCAACGAATCGATAGCAGAAAGCAGGTGCCTTCCAACAATCTGCAATCATCTGCGGCTGCTGAGCCCACTGCGTTTATGCGATCCTTGGTCATCACGAAGCCTGTCCAATCTGCCGGCTGTCAGGAAAAGATTTTGTGAGACCTTGTTCAGATACCTTCCGAGACCTTTCCTTGGCTTATTTACCCTGCTGAGTCGGCGCGGCCATAATCTTTGCAGCTGTCGTAGATATTCATGATGTACTCACCTCGGAGGTGTTCTCAGACGATTTCCAGAGGCTGCCGAATTCTGTGGGCCCTGTACCGCCAGTCCAAATCATATTCTCCTCCACAAAAAGATGGTTTATCGTCTCTGTAAGGTTCGTCTTGATCTTGACCTGCACAGGCGAAGGAAACGTGTGAATGCAAGCACTGCTCATCGCTCTCATGTGGGCGAAACTCTCGAAACCACCCTATCTGAGGGAAACATGAAAAACAAAAACATCATTCCGAGTTTGCGTGTGATCCACTTGATCCCCATTTAGCCAGCTCGCAACACGGAAGATGGAACGCAAGAGGAGTGTCACTCACGCACCCCCGCTCCGTTCCGTGGTTCGTTGTTCTGTGATTTGGGTTCAGGTTTGAGGGTCGCCCGCCCCTGAAATGGAACTCCTTCTGGTACCACCTCACTCGCATGTTCTGTTCTGTTTTCGAGCGGAGGGGATCATTCAAGCAGACGTATACTTGAAGGGCTCATGGTCAGTGGAGGCGTCAGCTTAGACAGTACTCCAAGGAGAGCGACAGTGTGCCAACTGTATAAAGGCTTCCAGGAGCATGCTGAGCATGAGTGCTGAACAAAGCTGTGAAGCTTAGGCGCGAGCAAATTCCTTGCCCTTCCGAGTGAAGCCATGTATGGATTGCCCGCATCCAACAAAGATTTTGTCCTGCCGAGACAGCTGGGGAATGAAGCTTTCCTTCGCTTGAACGCAGTCCTTTGCGAGCTGTATAACCACGGAGCTAATCTCGCGTCCAAGTGGAGCCTGGTGCAAGTTGCTTGGCTACGTCGGATCGCATCTCATGCTCGAGATGGTGTTGTCTGAAGCTGTTGTAAATTGGGGGCCAAGCCGACTTCCATTCGTATTGAACCTGAACCGTTTGCAAGATTAGATGCCGATGGAGAGCATTGGCACAGCACCCAAGCCTCTCCTTTTTTTATGTAGAACACCTGCAGCACCCCAGTGTCGTCACCTAGTTGCGGACAACTCTGGTACGATCACGTCGCATCCACTGCCATGATCTACGGCTGCAACCACCACCACTGGACTAACAACATAAACGAAGTACAAAAGGCAAAGGAAGTGCTTTCACCTGCACATCGATGAAAGCCAGAGCCTGCAACAAAAAAGGTTTGCAACAGATACGGCCTTTGGCACGATTGTGTTCTTGTTTCGTCACTTATCCAAGTCTCCAAGGCGCGGCGGGGTACCCTTGATGTTAGAACCAGCCGGTAAAAGCCAGGCCACCTTACATGGTCTGAAGAACCTAGAGACATACCCGATGAAAGATCAACAGCATTCATGTCAACAGCATCTGCAGCAGCATCAACAACAACAACAACAACAACAACAACAACAATCAACGAAATAACGGCAACAAATAGAATGGTGATTTAACAATGAAACAAAGTCAGCAAGAGCAGAACAGCAAAATTAACAGAAAGGCGCGCGGCAAGATGCGACTTCAGCAGAAATAACTCCTTGCAAGCATAAGATATGAGAGAGTCATTCGGAGGGTGTCTTGCTTGTCTCGCTGGCTTTCATGGCGCTCTCTAGAAGTGCGGGACAGGTACATGGCAACGCGAAGCAAGCATAGCATGGGGAATTCGATTACGAGGCAAGTAGCATGTACAGAGATGACGATGCTCGGCTATAACACCAGTTAATTACAGTAACCATGACAGCGCTGCTATCATTGACATGGCTGGGATGCTCCGCGACAGCCACGCCGGACTTGAACAATTGACGATCATGGCTGCGCGAAGCCACAACCCACAAAAACCGATGCTACCATGATGCCTGGGACGTGCGAGCCTGCCTTATGCAATCTAAGTCACGCTGACAGATAACAAAGCTGTCGACGTTTCTCATGTGATGGAGCCATAAAGCTAAACATATGATGGTGGTGATAAACATCAATACAAGCAGCCATGAGCAGGAAACAGAACGACAGTATCGATGACGATGATACGAGTAGCAAACATGCTAATGTAAACATGCAGGGGTAGTGACGACTCAGTACGAGTTTGAAAGTAGTGAAGTTCATCAGATGAATGAATGGTATTCAGAGTCGCGGCAATCGGCAGTGACATTCATGACGAGAAAGGTGACGCTACCCTGCGGCCAGTGGCGCAACAATTACCTAAAGCTGCGAAGGAACCGGAGATTGAGCCATCAGGCAAGACAACAACGACCATGACTACGACGATGACAAAGCCTAAGCCCAAGCAGGACAGGACTTGTGGCATAATGATGATGCCTCAAAACCTAAACCCAACTAGAACCCACAGCCATCCGGCGCACGCGCAAACACGCACAGTCAAAGCACCACGGCAGCCGCTAGCAGCAGCAGCGACAAGGCGAAGGACAGGAACAAGACAACACACAAGACAGAGGCAGTATGTTCAATGTTCGACTCCGCAACTTCTGGTAAGACCCCGGCCAACCGCAACTTTTTGCTGCTTCTTCTTGCCAACCTGAAGTCGAGGACTGAAGCTCTTCGGTTATGAAGCTGCAGAAATCCTTGATCACTACACCTCTTGCTCCCTCCCCTGTCATGAAACAGGCTGCCTGGAACATCTCACCGATCAGGCAATGAAAAAAATACGGACGGCATAGAGCAGTAGAGTCGCAGGTTGCAGCACCATACTACTACCATGTACTACTTGTGCTGCAAGTTGACGCTTGCAAGGCAAGTAGCTGGCAGCACATCCAGAGTTCCAGGCTGCAAAGCCTCGAATCGCGCAAACATGTCTCAAAGATGTCTAGACCTCTTGCTCGCGCAGTGCCCTAGGCCATGCCATGTGGACACTCCAAGACGGGCAAGCCGAGATGTCTTGTCAATCCGCCGGTGAGATGTGACCTTCAGCTGCTGACCCCGCATTGCAGGAGATCCACGCGATGGAGGAGGACTTCCATCCACCTGCACTGCGGGGGTTGGAAGCGAGGGCCTTCTGGCCGGCTGCTGCATTGAACAGCAATGTACAGAATTGAAGGTGCCTGCTCCTGGAGCGGCGAAGGCCACGAACGAGTCGCTTACCCTATGGGCCCTAGCTGCACTTAGTCGGGGGGGCGTTGTTTCGCTACTGTTCCGGTGGCCAAGTGGCCTACGCCTTCGTCGCAATGACTTTACACTGTACACTGTATACTTTTGGTGGAAGCCAACACCAACTAGCCGCCGATGATTTTGGAAACACCTGGCTCTGCTCCTGCATTTTCCTCCAACGGTCTTGCTACAACAAGACCTTTTGCTCGGACCACAAAACCATCGACAGAAGGAGCTGTAACAAGCAAGCTGTGAAGCAGTCATGATGATTTCGCGTCCACGGAAGGACAGCTCACAAATGCCGTTTAGTGTTGCAGCTTTTTGGGCTGTATTCTGGATTCTTCAATTTGTAGCCGCTCTTGAGCATGTGGGCCGCTGATAATCACGTTGTCCACGACCTCAAACATCAAGTGTGCTCACATACGCAGCTCTTCTTTACGACAATTCAGGAATCCTGCGGCATAGGGCTCGCACGCTCAAGAGGAAGGCACAACCTCCCACTCCAAACCTTACTTGGGATACGGGACTGCACATGTTTGACTTACTTGCGAAGCCACTACAACTACAGACGTTGTTTCGATTGCTTTCGTCTTGGCTCTGTGCTTGATCTCGGCGTCTCCCAAAGCAAAGCGCACGCGGATACCAGAAGCCTTGCAGAGATCGACTGGTCCTGCATCAGGGGCCTCCGGTGCCTTCACTGGAGTAACCTGCAGCTGGATGTCCAAGCCATCCAGGATCTGAACCTGGCACAAATGGCATGCGGTCTCTTGGAGGAAAGCAAAACGCGATCTATCCACAGTATGACAAGTCAGACCAAAGTGAACCTAGCCTAAACGAGTTGAGACTGCAGGCCATTGCAGTGATGGGGGTTGACTCCCCGAGGTGAAAAGCTCTGCTGGGCATCAACTTGTTAGTTACTGTTAGTTCCTGGTTTCACTAGGGGGTGCCCCCTTGCTAGTCCTCCATTGCCCGCTCAGAACTGAGCATGGTGGGTATTCAGTCCAGCCCCATAGCGACGCCGTCTATGAGACCTGCCGGAGACATCCGACTCTTCCCCCGCATCATACGGAAGTGTGGCTGGCACCCCGGGCTCCTCGTACCAAGGCCCTGCATTGTCATAAGGGCTGGCCCCCGGCAATATTTCGAGGGCACTCTAGGGTGTTGCTGCCAAAGCACAATGGGATGGCCCCAAATCGACTCCGTCCAGGTGGAGAGGAGCGCATGTGCTTCCAATACCACTTCAGCCACGTCTTGGGTGAGGAAAGGGAGCACTCTTTTTTAGGAGCGCTTGTGCACGCACGATTTGGTACGGCGTGGCCTCTCCCTTTTTTGAGGAGTGGCGGGGACTTGAGGTAGAACGTGGTGAAGTATGGGGTTTTCCAGGGAACCATTCCTGAAGAGCTGGCAGAGGCGGCAGCTGGGTTGCCAGTTCCCATATGGGCGGTGCGCTGCTCCGGGGTCGTTTCGCTTAAGGGGAGGCCCCCCTGTGTAGCCTCTCGACGACCCTTGGGACAAATACGGCAGGGTCTGCACGTTGTCGAGCAAGTTTTGCACATATTCCATGGCATCACGGAGGTCATCTTCAGCCAAAGCTGCACAGGCCATGTCCGCGAGGTGCTGCCATTTGTGTTTGTGACAGGTCCATGACATCACTGCCCGGATTGGATTGTTGCAAGCGCTCTAGAAGCCGGATGTTGGCTTCGATAGAGGATCGAACTCCCCTGAGCTCGGATGGTATGTTGAATTGCTCTTTCGGCAGGAAAAAGGGGTTTTCCCCTGCGGTCGCAGATGTTGGGCCTGTGGCTTCGGGGTTTGGCACTGGCCTGGGTGACGTCAGGGGCTGGGCAGCGTCGAGGGCACGCTGTGTTTCCTAGAGACGGGCGCATGCTCTATACGACAAGTCTTTGACAGATTCAATTGGCCGGTCCAAAGCTTTCTTGTAGTAGCTGTTCGAGAACCCAGAGAGCCCAATACCCTTAATTAAGGAATATAGCTTAAATCATAATATTAAGCCACTTATAATTTAAGGTATATTCCTTAATTAAAGGGTATGGGGCTCTCTGGGAAGTTGTCGTAGAGTGAGCACCGCAGAGGCAGCAGATTGGGAGCTGCTCGTGGAAGTGGTGGCTGTGGCGCGTAAGTCAGGCTGGGGGGGGTAGGGGGGTACAAGAAGGGTTTCCCCTGAAGCTGATTTGGGGTGTCCCTCGACCTTTGCATAAGCTCAGTTTGTCATTGGCGCCACATGAGAGGCGCTCATATCCGGATAAGGTGGTTGCTGGACGAGCCTTTTGGTGCCTTGCTTCCGAATGGGGGTGTCCCTACTGCCTCGAGTGCGGTTGCCTGGTTGCGACTAGCGAGGTCGTGGTGGTGGCATGGAGTTGCTCGGGCGCGCCCCCTTTGCGCCTTTGTCCCGCTGTCTAGAGTCTGGTGTTGACGTCCCTTTTTCGTGGCCCAGTAGGGTGACGCTGTTCAGGAGAGGTGGGTGGTCTCGGGTCTTCAACCAGGGGAACGACTGAGAAGCCCCGGTTTAATATATACCTGAGTCTTGAGCTGCATCATTCTGATGTCCTATTTGTGCATCAATCTCGAAACTGTTTCTGGCAATCGATTTTTCAACATTTGACAGCACAAAGACCTGTTGCCCATTCGACTTGATACATCTCATTGTTTTTGATCTCGTTTGCACCGATGGTCTTGACGTCATGCATCGTATGCACTCTGAGTGTCATGAATCCTCTCTTATCACGATTTCCCGAACGCTCCGACAGCTCGCCATGGAGGCATGATGAGGCATGAGCACCAGTGAACACAGCATGGACATGGACATGAAAATGTAACCTTCATGACAGTACTCAAATTCTCTCAGCAGACCCTTGTCAGAATCCCAAACTGCGGACGTGCGCAGTACTCACCGAGATACAACGAGGTTTGATCACGTTTCTGCCGCACTCAAGCCTCTTCTGCCGGAGATGTCGTCGCCCATTTCAATGGGCCCCACACCTGAAAGCATACGCTGGAATCACGACAACATAGGACAATGAACTTCACAGCCAGGGATGCCGGCCCCTTCGTTGACGAAGTCGAGCTGGGATGGCTTCCTTTCGCGTGCGAACGACAGGAAATCTTCATGGCCTTAAACTTTCCACTGCCCGGTACTGTCCAAGGACAAACGTCCTGCATTTGTGCCAAATGGGCTGATGCCTTGGTAGTCAAGATGGCGGCTGACAGAAGACGGGTGAGAGACAGCGGTGTGCCAGGACAAACGCGCACTGTTTGGATGTTGCATCCGCTTCGTGAGGCTGTGGCACGGAAAGCTTCACACCAGCTTCCGCAGCACGGAGCAGCCCTTTCGCTCTGACCTCAGCGTAACTCGTGAAAGAGCACAGTTTACAGATGCTGCTACCGCTCTTGCGAAGAATGTCAATTCTTGCCCTAGCATAAACCATGCTCGAACAACAACGTTGACTTCAGATTCACACGTTCTTGTTCGAGACTGGCTTGTATCCTGCCCGAGCACAAGTGACTATCTTTTCCGGCGGAAAACGGACATCTGCAACTTGGAGTCTGGAGTCGAGGATTCCCCGGGCGGTAGGCAGACTCCAGCTACTCCGCTTTTGTGGACTGAGCTTTGTTCCGCTTGTCCACACCGATGAACTGCACGATCAACGTGGCATTGAAAGAAGCATTGAACAAGAGCGATCTCATTCCAGCACATTCTGCACCAGCGTATATCTTCGATGCCGTGACACATAACAGGCAGAAGCTGGTCGCAAACTGCACGATTTGCAGCTTAGTGATCCATCGCTTCCAAGGAGTTGGGCGCTTCAAGATCTTCATTGCGTAATAGTGGTACATGATGACATGGACCAGCCTCAGATTCGATTAACTACCATTAGCGCATCACAATGTCATAGAACAGCCAGGGAGCGTGTTGAACAGTAGGCCTCCCCATTGTAGGGATTGTTGATATTGGCACCAAAACCAAGCCATAGGCACCTGCAGGTGGCAAAAGTAGCCACGGCTTGCCAGGGCTCTGCCGTTGCCAGGATAGTATCATGATAGTTGATTCTCTCGGCACATAGCTACTCAGCAGTCCCATGCTGAAGAGAGACAGGAGACCACAACCCTTTCCAACATAGCAACCCAACAGTCGGGATCCAGCCCCTCCCTGCATTCAGCCTCCATATGCCCCCCATCCCATGATGAATGGCACGCTTCTCGGGGTTGCTACCCACCACTTCGTTTATGATTTGGGGTTCTCGCAAAATCTGTTCAAGCTCACACCTCCTATGAGACTTCGTCAGGGAAGGGGGTGGTCAGCTCCATTATACCCAATCGTTAGGAAGAAGCTACCGGTGACGCAAGACCCTCACGACGACGAAGCAACCACACCGTGCATTGATTCGAGACTACGCGCCTAGAGCCGGTTGGGACCGGTTCACGGGCGAGCCAGAGATCATCTCTACAGCGATGGATCTTCGGGCCCCATTGAATCAAAACGAGATGCGGGCCAGGCTGGCTGCGGCATTAGCTTTCTGCAGGGCTTCATGCCTTGAATAGCGTCTCCGGATGTGAGCCGCAGTTTTGCTGATTGGTTTCTCCCTCTTTGCGCTTGTGGGCTTCTTTATCTCCGAGTCCAGTATGGGACGGTTCTCCTCTGAATTTCGAGGTGATTTAGCGTAACTCAAGCTTCGGTGCTCTGCTGCAAACGCCAGTAACAAGACCAGCGAGACGGCTTCCCCCTCAAAAGGATTCAGAAAAGCGTGCAGCTGAGGCACCACAGCCGCGTGATGATACACTTGTAGCTTGAAGTGTGGCACCCTGCTCTTCTGCAAGAGCACCAGAACTGTATCGAACATCTCATAGTACTTGCTTAGGTAGTACACGTAGGACCAGAAAAACAAGGGGCCATTGGATTCTGTGGCTGCTTCACAAAAGAACCAGCCAAAGTCGCCCGAAGAGGCCCACCGTCTGTTCAGCTCGAAGAGAGTTCCAAGCAGCATGACTAGCGAGCCAACCGACAGAAGCAAGTTGTGGATTACGGCCACGGTGCCTAGCTCGAAAGGCGTGGCATTCTTCATCCCAAGACTTAGTACCAGAACAATCGCCAAGTATACAGCTACTCCGCCAGCCGGCCAGCTCCAATCCGCTGCGAATGCATCATCCCAGCGGAAGTTCTCATACCCAATACCCAGCATCGCGCACGAAGATCGAACTACCCACAAAGACTTAGGCGACTCAGGACTCTGCAGTACTAAATGCTTTTCGTTTAAGAACCTTTCACCTATGTGGCATGCGCTGACACCTGACAAGTGGCTGCGAAATACTATGGTGAATTTGAGAAGGAAAAGCCTTGGCGCATCATGCTCTGCATAAAATACGCGTTCAAGTGCCGGACCCAAAGAAGTACCACGGTTGGATGTGTACGCCATGCCTGCACCACTGCTGTAAGATTGCACAAAGTGAAACATTCTGCCTTGTCATGAAAGCATGCTTGACAGTCCTGAGCCCAACGCCCACATGGGTACCTCTTCTTGCTGAATGTCAAACGCCACACGCCTCGCAAACATTGATGAACCACGATGGTTGGAAGGACTGCGCACAGAACTCCTCAAAGGAACAGAGATGTCCAAAGGATTTCGATATTACCAAGATTCTTGCAACACGGCTTCCTGCAATCCGACGACTACAGTACTGTATCATGTGCAGTTTCCTGTCATGTTCCTCCATCCATGTCGCCTCCACGAGCGTGGCTTCACCTGCAGCAAAATCATAGTCACGGTCCGAATGTGTTCAATCATATCGGGTAAGACTACCACGACCGAAATCTTCCACACCTACCCTTACACATGGGACCAGCTGGCAACGGCCAAGTCGCATGTACCACCGGCGAGTCGAGCTCATAGGAGGGCGATGCGAGTGAGGGATGGGGGGAAAGCCCAAACCCCTACAGAAGGCTGATCCCGAAAGCCAGTCCAACGTCAAGAAGGACTACAATTGACTACAAGGACTTCAATCGTCAGATCTGGTGCCTGTGACCGCATTATCTTTGGAAGCTGCGACCGACGTAGACCTTGGCAAGTCGCCCAAACCGCTCTGCCACGGCTCCCCTCGGCACGTCTTGGCTTCTGGCACTGTTCCAGCCGCATGCGTGAGTTGGGTGCAACCTGAGAGCAAAATACATCCAAGACATCTCGACCTTTCCGGAATAAGCCGTGCAGTCGGAGCAAGCACATTATTCCAACCGGGTCATCATCGCCGGTCTCTCGCTGACAATGCATCAGAAGTTAGATGACTCGAGCAGTCACCCACCCCCTGACTTAAAGAGTTCGTGCAAACAGCATCTTCATCAGCGTTGGCCGCCTCAGGAACACCGACCAGTCTATGCAAGGGTTCGACACCTGCGAGCATCGCATATCAAAGGGTGAGATGCAAATGTCGAGAACGGAGGCATGCTCGAAGCCGGCAAACTTGGCTTCGTTTTGTCATGTTGTGAAGTAAGGGGATATATCTTTTCACGTCCTCCTGCCTCCGGGAACAAAGAAGAAATGATTCGGTTCTGCCCCCCTTCTGCACATTTCCGAGGCACGAAGATCAGCCCTGTTTAAAATGCAATCAGCTGACTTCGGCAACAGCCGTGTGCATGAGCTGGCAGTGCCGCCGGTTCTAGTTCACGATCTTTTGCGAGCTGCTCGCTTGAATGGAACCTTCTTGACGAATGCCATGCCTGGCGAGCAGGGTGGGTTTTTTTGGAACTAGATACATGAATCAACGACAGAACACATGTCGATCACTGCGACGATGATACGACATGCAATGCGTCATGACGAGCCACAATGCCCGACAAGCCATGAACACTAGTGGAAAAAGTAGAGATTGAATGAAAGGTTTGAAGCAGTCCAACACAAGCCTCCTACTCTCGCATACGACCAACAGTCGTGCAAAATGCGAGATTTGACGCCGCGAGATAAGCTCGCCGAAGGACACCTGACAGACCTGGTATGAGCCTGACAGTGCGAGGTTCATGGAAAAGTCGGGGCATACAAATGGTGCCTGCCAAACGCACGTCATGAGAGCTTCACGACCACTAGCAGCACATGGCCTTGGTAGTGGCCTCGCATGCACCATACGCCATGAGGCACCACCTCAGCAAGTGCAGTCCCATAAAAGGCTCCAGGGCCACCGTCCTATGATGCTGCTCCTTTATAAGTACCGATGCCAAAGAAAGGCTTCGAAGACACGAAGCAAAACTTCGTGCAGAATGACCGTCACTAAAACGCTCCCAATGTCAGCTTCGGGCCTTGCCGTCGAAGATGAAAGCTCGTCCACCTGCCTGGCATGGACACCATCGGTCAGTTCTGAACTGGGTTCTTGTTAAGGGATTTAATTTAAGTTACCATAATAAGGAAACCATATTATTTACTATAGATCCCTATTATGGTAACTTAAATTAAATCCCTTAACAAGAACCCAGTGAAGCACCATGGTGGCGGTGGGATTGTCATGTCCGGAGCGTGAACATGCTTCAGTAGAACTTTCATCGGCAGAGGACTCCTCCGCGCGTCTCACCATGCCACTCGTTGCATGCTGTAGAGACTGCAGAACTTGTGCCGCACAGGGGCCAAAGGGAAAGCTTTGTTGCCCATGACGAAAAACGCCATCTGGTCAATGACCTGTCTAGACAGAATATCCAGCACGGGCAAGCAGTGCAGAAGCTCTTCGTGTCCTAGTCCCCATGAGTCCTAAGGTCTCTGTGTTTGTGTTGGGCTTCAGGGTCACGTGCGCGACCCTCAGCATCGGCCCGCCCATTCCATGCCCAGTTTTCTGGACTCGACGGCTTTGGGATGTCTCAACCGTCGGCTCCAGAATCCAGAGGTGTGTGGTGCATTTACCCCGCCCTCATGCTGGAATTCCCCGCAACCCCGAACACTGCTGCTTGCTTGTTTGCTGCAAACCATATATGTCCCCCTGCGCGGAGGGATCTCCCCGCTTGCGCCAACGACTTTCTCGCTCTCCCTCCCTCCGGGGCGTGAGAGGATGTCGAGGTCCGCGAGCCGAAGGCTTACCCCTGCTGTTGGGCGTTGTGGGAGAGCCTGACTCGACAGCACCAGTCGAGCGCTCTCGCGTTCTCTCGCTCTCGCTCTCTCTCTCTCTCTCTCAAACGCTACGCCCGCCATGCATGCCCGCCACTGCGGACCAGTTGCAGGATCGTTCTCCTGCCGTATCGAGTGGCAGGACTACTCACGACGACCCTCAAGTGTCGGACTGGCTGACATGCCGAGCCGAGCAGGCGGAGTTTCTGCTGCAAACCCCCCTCCAGCCCCAGCGGGGCCCAGCGGGGCCCAGCGTCCTGGATGCCCAGCAGCAGGGAGGCTGAGTGGTCTTGGTCCACGTGCACGCAACACTCCTCACAGGCCTGAGAGCGGAGGACACAGGTACAAGGCTAAAGGGCAGAACGCCGAGTAGTTGGAGGCCTCGGTTTTGGTAGTCTCAGTGCATCGAGCTGCAGGGAGGAAGCCTGGTTAACCCTGCAGCCTTAGGAGCAGGCCTCGTCTCTGTGCAACTGTGTCTGGTGAACATTGTGAGTGCTAAACCCTTTAGGATGAAAAAATCAGAAACGTCAGCCGCACTATGCAGTTCCACCGGTTCAATACAGATGCCACTTTCGGAAGAAGGGAGGCCGGCAGTGCCGATTGCTCAGGTTCGCACTGGCTCTGATACGCTTCTCTGAGGCTCAGCCAGCAGGGCTTTAACCCGAAATCCCCGAACCACGTTGAGACTTCATCAAAATGCTTTGGAGTCCATGCTTTGTTTTGTTTCTGTACGGGGCGTGGCCAGGGTGCATGGAAACCCATGAGTTGCTATCTGAGATATTCTCAAAGTTTGTTCAGCATCGTACAAAGGCAATCCCACCTGTAGGGCTGGATGATTGGAGACGATGTTGGATAGAACTGACCACGATTTTCTATAATACGGAAGATCGATTTCAAGACGGAGGCAAGTTGCTCTGGTCGGAGCAGGGGGATTTCAGTACAGTATGGCAGAAGGCCGGCGATGGCCCCGATCACGTGCCGGCATCACTTTGTGCAGAAGTCGCATTCAGTGTTTCTGGCCCTTGCGGCGTTTATGCTTTCTGTGAATAGGCGGTATGCAAGCCGGGCTTTTGGCTTTCCTCACTTCCTGTCTTACTTTTCCGCAACTCCCTGTGTTCCTTTCCTGCTTGTTTGCTGTCTTTCTTCATGTGTTCCTCAAAACTCACCCCCAAGCAGAAAGAAAGAAGCCATCCCTTCTCAATGCCACGATGCTTGGCAGCCTTTCGACCTGCACGTCGGGCAAGTCTCCTTGCACGAAGGCACACCTCAGCACGAAAGCGATGCTGGTGCGACGTCTCAATCCACCCCCACAATTTTATGCAGCGACCCAATTCACCACTTGCAGTCACCAACGCCCCTGGCAAAAAGAAAGGATGGAACCGAGTCGAGACATAGTTTCGCGGCTTCCGACAGCCCTAAGTGCAAGTGCAAGGAAAGTGTAAGTATAATCAAGCAAGTAAGTAGGTAAGCCAACGAGTGGGTAAGTAAGTAAGTAAGTAAGTAGTAAGTAAGTAAGTAAGTAAGTAAGTAAGTAAGTAAGTAAGTAACTAAGTGACTAAGAAGCTAAGTAATTAGCTAGGCAAGTAAGTAAGCAAGAAAGCTATGTATCTATGTATGTATGTATGTATGTATGTATGTATGTATGTATGTACGCATGTATGTACGTACGTATGTATGAATGAATGTATGCATGCATGCATGAATGTATGTATGTATGTATGTATGTATGTATGTACGTATGAATGTATGTATGTATGTATGTACGTATGCATGCCGCTACTAGTATGTAGTGTGCAGGTAACATGGATGTAGGTATGTGTGTACGCATGCATGCAAGTATGTAAGTGTGTAAGTGTGTAAGTATGTATGTATATGTATATGTATATGTATATGTATATGTATGTGTATATACATATACATATATATATATATATATATGAATATGTATATGCACAGGCATGTGTATAGGTATATGTATGTGCGTCAATATATGTGTGTAAGCATATGCATGCAGATGCTTGGAACATCGCAATGTTCGACTCAGGCTCGCACCTAGGAGCTTCGCTACAGGTGGCGGCGGCGAATGGTTTTCGCTGCAGTTGGAAAGAACTGCCATGTAGCCTGCAGCTTGACTCAAACTGTTGCCATGCTCGGTTGAAACAGAGCATCCCACTGTTGGAGCGCAGATCCTGCTCTTGCACGACACACAAAGCTTAGACGCCCTGCAGACCAGGATTCAAAAGCAGCAACTTTCTACTGACTCATTTCATGCCACGACACATCTAAACTCAGCAAAGAGACCTTGGCCCACATAAGTCTGCACTGATCCGCCGTCAGCTGGATCGATGGCCGCGACCCCTGGCCAAATGGTGAGCATTGCGACACCGATGTCAGAAGATGCTCCACGACGCGTGTCATGGTAGTGCAGTGCATACGGAAACAGAAACTGAAAGCCGTTTCACCTGGATCTTTCTTTGGCAGCGCAGGGGGCTTATACCAGCGGAAAGACTGCCACCTGAATCGACAGAATTCTGTCATGTCGGCCATGGCGTTCTGTATTGCTCCAAGCAACACATCTGAATTCGTTGCATTCTCAAGGACTTTCACCATGTCGGTGTCCAGCATGTCTGCCAACACCTGGGACGGTCAAGGGTTCACCTGGTTTCATTCACTCTTCGTAACCTCAAACTGGGAATCAGGTTCAAGGGACAAGCGGTTGGAAGATCACAGCAGTAAGCGCCTCGTTGCACTTGCCTCGCAGCTCTGCCGTGCCAGGGAAGGTCCGGTTTCTGCTCAGCTGGATGCCGACCTTACTCTCGACAAATTCCATATAGCATATACATGGGCCCTAAAGTAGGGATAGAATAGGGTTTTCGGCGTATATTATACTAGAGTTATAATAAGGATCCCCCCAAAAGTCAACCTCGAGGCACTTCCCTGTCAGTCCATCGCGCCCTCATTACGGCAGACAAGCAGCTCCATGCAAGCGCCCCTTCTGCTGCGGTCGAGAAGACTTCTTTGCCCAGGTGTCCCAGTAGGTGTTGCCTGCGATAGTCGATAGTCACAGTCTGCAT